TACGAGAATACGACGCCGCTAGCGATTCCGCTACCCTCCGCCCTTTTGCCTTGAGAAACACCCCTTGGGTCGACAACGACTGGTCAGACGATTGGCAGTGATGTTTCGCCCCCCTACTTCCGAGAACCTCCGTGAATACGCGCCGGCGGGCCGGGATTAGAAGTTGGCTGCGGTCTGTCGACTCCACTACACCGGGACACCGTGCATACGCGTTGAGGCGTTGTGCTGAACATGGGCACCAAAAAAAAATGGCATTTTCGGTTACCCTCTTACTTTGGTGTGGATGCCCATCCACTTCCCCCCTCCTTCGGAAAGCGATTGTGTGCTCCCCTGGGACCCTCTTAGAGTACCTAGCCTATGTACCCCCTTATTTTTTTTTTTTTTAAATAACCTTTTTCTTTCTTAATAATTTATTTATTTCTTTATTCCTCCTTTTTTTGCCTTATGTGTATATATATGTATATATATTAGGGCGGGTCAATTTTTTTTCGCAAAAATCGTCCCCCATAATCGGAATCTACGAAGAATTCTAAGAAAATTTCACCATGAAACCATGTGTCTAAAATAAATTCCTAGCTCGCGCCGTGAAGCTTAAAGATTTCACTATGAGGTACACAAGGTATTTCGAGGTATTTCAGACATTTTAATGTATTTAAAAAAAAACATACGCATTTTCCAATTATGTTGGAGTCAATTATGATTCATCTTTTACAACAAATTTTATATTTTTTTTTTAAATTTATTTAACTTATAATTTATTTTTAATTTTGAAAAAAAGAGTCAAAGTAGCCATGTACTTAGCCTCATATAAGAAAGTAGGAGCAATGCGTCTGTAACTTTTTAACGAAGTACGGTATCGATCTGAAAAATGAAATATATATTCAAAGGCATTTTCAGCAATGTATTGATGTATTCCTTCTTATTGTTTGTTTTATACCCCCCTCATTTTTACTCGGATATTTTTCTGAACTAAATGGTTTTTTTTGCCTCTTACTGGCGGCCGTTGCCACATCTTTTTCCTTTGGGCGTTCAGATCGTGGGCGTGGTGTTGATGGCACCGCGGGCCACCGCGTTGCTGGCCGGGTCCTCTTTGTGGCCTCCTTCCTCTTCGCGACCTCCACCAGCCACCTTGCCCGTCGCAGACGCATCCTCTTCGCCATCGCCCTCCTCGTGGCTCTCTCCCGTCCACCTCTCATCACTTTCTTCCACTCCCGGGCGTTCTCCTCGCACATCTCCTCCGCCCTCTTCCTGGCCATGTCCGCGACGGTGACGATCGCCTCCTGTTGCTGGCGGCAGCTTTCGGCTCTCCTTCGGAGCTCCAGCACTTCGCACCGGCGCCGCTCCTCCACCGTGGCGCGACCGACGGGTATGCGCCTCTGTCCTCCTGCTGCCCGTTCGATCGCCCACTCCGTCCTCATCCTTCTCCCGTTCCAGGACGGATCGCCGACCACCTTCAGGTCGCTCTCGTCTGACGAGACGATCATTGTCGCTTCCGATTCGTGGGACATGTTGCTCCGCTGATTAGAATTTTTGAATAGGCCGTGCTCCTCCCAGCCGCCGCCTTTTATAGCACATATAGTTCCCGTTACTGGCTGTGGGAACCGGCAGCGAAGAGCGAGAGCGACAGCGGTAGGAACGACGTCAGCGCCGACATCAACGATTGACTCTTCTGCTCTTTATATTATGTGCTAGTAGTTTAAGACGTACGGCCGATGGACCAACATCGCCGGTCCGAAAATAAATTATAAAGTTTACAGAAACCAGCCATATACATATTCATATTACAGGGAGTAATTCGTGGGTTAACACATTGGCAACGAGGTAAAACTACAAAAAAAAAAAAACCAAGAATTAACCAATATTTAAACTAAACCACATGTATATTTTCAAGACGTAATTTTATGATATTGCGGTACTTGGTACAAATGCATGTGTCGTTTTTTTTTTCTTTCTTTCTCTCTCTTGTGTTCTACTTGTTCTTCTGCTCTTATGGTACCGTACCACTTCCAACAGAAGAAATCATGATAGTGAGCGGAAGACCAAAATCTAATGAAGAGAGCGTTACTGATCACAATTCAAAATAACATAAGCCTAATTCAAGAGCGTGACTGAGTAACAGTTGGTTGCAAGTCAAGAGAATTATAAAAAAAAAAATGGAATAATAAAATTCTTAACTGGGCAACAGTACGTTGTAAGTTGAAAGAAAAAAAACCGTATTGAACAAAGAGATAATCTGTTTGTACTGAAGCAGTTAGCCTTGTAATAAGCTGACATAGTCAAAGGCAGTTTGCCGGGGGAAAAAAAAAAATTTATAAATGAAATTTTGGTTTTCGTTTCACTTGCAGAATTCGCCGAAAAAGGGAAATGAACAAATGAATGAACAAAGAGATAATCTGTTTGTACTGAAGCAGTTAGCCTTGTAATAAGCTGACATAGTCAGAGGCAGTTTGCCGGGGGAAAAAAAAAAATTAATAAATGAAATTTTGGTTTTCGTTTCACTTGCAGAATTCGCCGAAAAAGGGAAATGGGTGAAAAAATTATCACACCTTTCCTGTGTGAAACCATCGAAAAATAACTGTTACGAAACGAGTGGGAAAGATGGTTTCGCGCATTTCAAATATATATCGATGCTGAAAAGATTGAAACTCCTACCAGGAAACGAAATAGATTGCTCCACTTGGGAGGCGTGCAATTGCAGACGGTTGCTTTCTCCTTACCCGATGCACTAGTAGACCTGGATAAGAATGAAAGAGTCGACTTATTTCTGGTGCTGGTGGGAAAGCTAAATGATTATTTCTCACCGAAACAGAACTCAGCCTTCGAGCGGCATATGCTTAGGCATACATTTGGAAGGTGAGAGTTTTGCAAAATTTACGATCCGGTTACGTCACCAAATGCAGAAATGCGATTTTGGCTCCACTAAGGCCGAAATTGAAGAGATCTGTTTAAAAGATAAAATCATGGACTCCTGGACTTCGCTGGAATTGAAGAGAAAGCTACTTGGAAAGAGCATACCTTGACTGAAGTGATCGAAGCTTGTAGAGTAGATGAAGAAATTATTAAGCAATTTCAATCGATGATTTCTCAGGCAGAAAGAGAAACAATAAATAAAATATCATTTCGGAAACCGAGCAAGGGTACAGAATGCGGTAGATGTGGTCGAATGGGTCTATCTGACGATAACCTGACCTGCCCGGCGCGACAAGTTAAATGCAACAAATGCTCGCGGTTTGGAATCTCAAACGCCAGTCCACACAGCCAAACAACGGTGGCCCAAAACGGTCACGGATAGATGTGCGGCAAGTACAAGATGAATGCGCTCCTTCCGGAACGAAACCGACCAAAGAAGAATGTTTCCGAATTTGCAGCGATGATGATGAAAATGATAAATTTCGGGGTTATGCTTCAAACCAATTGCTTAATGTAATTCGTGTATTCGAGGCTCCCATATCAACAGGCTCAGATAAAGAGATCATTGCTTCATTTTATGTCATTGAAAATGGGAAACAATCGTTACTGGGCCGAGAAACAACGATCAAGTTGAACGTCTTAGCATTAGGATTACAAGTCAACCGAGCTGAGTGCATTACCCCGTTTCCCAAGTGGAAAGGAGTAACAGTCAAGTTATTAATTGACCCTAGCATTAGGCCCATACAACAGCCAATGCGACGTATACCGGTTGCCATCGAAGCTAAGGTACTGTCCAAACTAGAGGAAGCTTTAAGCAGTGACATAATAGAGCCATTGGTCGGTCACAGCCCTTGGATCTCGCCTATCGTAATAGCTTTTAAAGAAAACGGCGACATCCGGTTGTGCTTAGATATGCGGATGGCTTATCGAGCGGTGATGAGGGAACACTACCCACTGCCTACCTTTGACTCATTTATGACAAAGTTGAAGGATGCTACATACTTTTCGCGGCTCGACTTGAAAGATGCATATCATCAATTAGAATTAGATGAGGCAAGCCGGCAGATAACCACATTTATAACCCCAAGGGGTTTGTTCCGCTACAAACGATTTATGTTTGGGATAAATTCTGCCCCCGAGATATTCCAACGACGGCTTGAAGAGTTATTAGCACCATGCCCCAACGTTCTTAATTATATCGATGATGTCATCATATTTGGATCAAATGAAGATGAGCATGACGAGACGGTCAGGAAAGTCCGGGAAATATTCAAGAACAATAATGTGGTACTGAATGACTCAAAATGTGTTTGGAAAACACACCGTTTAAAATTTCTAGGCCACATTCTATCCGACAAGGGAATCAGTGTTGATCCCGAAAAAGTAGATGTCATCACTTCATTCCGAGACCCGAGAAATAAGGAGGAGACGAGAAGCTTCCTAGGACTGGTCACTTACGTCGGGAAGTTTATTCCGGATCTAGCCGATCGCACAGAACCGTTAAGGAAATTGTTGGGAAAAGACACCAAATTTTTCTGGGGCCCCAAAGAGAAAGAAGCGTTCAACGATTGGAAAACTCGCCTGGCTGAGTTTCATACTTCTGGCTGAGTTTCATACTTTCATACTTCAATGTAAAACATCGAACACGTCTCATTGCTGATGCAAGCCCGGTGGCGCTGGGAGCAGTACTGCTACAATTCACGGAACGAGGCGAACCCCAGATCATTTCTTTTGCCAGCCGAAGTTTGTCAGATGTGGAGAAGCGGTACTCACAAACCGAAAAAGAAAGCTTAGCACTGGTATGGGCGGTAGAAAAATTTTATTACTACTTAGCCGGTATAGAGTTTGAATTGGTTACCGACCACAAGCCACTCGAAACAATATTTAAGCCATCGTCAAAACCACCAGCTCGCATCGAAAGGTGGCTTTTGCGACTACAGATTTATAAATTCAAGGTTATTTATAAAGCTGGGAAGGAAAATATCTCAGACACTTTGTTTCGTCTGTGTTACATATCATCGACAAAGGATTTCGAGTCAAGAGCCGAATATAGCATTTTTCGTATACTGGAGGGCTCAATTCCTAAGTCAATGAGCATATCGGAAAAAGCAGAGAAAAGCATCCTTGATGAAGAAATTGCGGATGCCATTACTTGTTTGCAAGATGATTCATGGACTTCCGCCGCATCAAATAACCTCTACCCGTTCCGATTCGAGCTTTCCACAATCGGGAACATCCTATTGAGAGGAAACCGTTTAATCATCCCGACTTCTCTGCAGGAAAAGGTGCTAGAGCTAGCCCATGAAGGCCATCCAGGCGAATCCGCAATGAAGCGTCGGCTACGCTCCAAGGTTTGGTGGCCTGGCATAGATCGTGCGGCTGAAAAGTTTGTAAAGTCCTTCAGAGATTACCTTCTGGTCTCGCAAGCAAACACTCCAGCACCGATGAGTAGGACACCGTTTCCAACGGGTCCTTGGATATGCGTGGCTTCCGATTTGTTGGGTCCTTTGCCAAATGGCGAATTCGTACTCGTTTTCATTGATTATTACTCGCGATACTTGGAGTTTAAGTTCTTGCGTTCGATAACATCAACGACCATTATCGATGTAATAAAAGAAATACTCTGCAGACTTGGTTTCCCCAAATACTTACGGACGGACAATGGACGGCAGTACATCAGTAGTGAGTTTAAAGAATATTGCAAGGTTTGTGGCATAGAGCAGATTAGAACTCCGCCTTACTGGCCTCAGGCAAATGGTGAGCTTGAAAATATAAATAGATCGCTAGTAAAGCGATTAAAGATCGCATATCAACACAAAAATAACTATAAAGAGGAGATACAAAAATTTGTGTTGATGTACAATGTAACCCCACATAGTAGCACAGGTACAGCTCCTACGCAGTTGATGTTTAACAGGCTGATCCTTGATAAGGTGCCAGGGATTCAGGATTTGGGCGCGGAAGTATTAGACTCAGTAAAACGAGACCTGGACTGCATTGCAAAACAGAAGGGGAAAGAATCAGCTGATAAAAAGAGAGGGGCGAAGGAAATTGATATAGGAGTAGGTGACAAGGTCCTAATAAAAAATGTTGTGTTTCCACATAAGCTAACACCAAACTTCGACCCTACAGAATACGATGTCATAGAGAGAAAAGAAAACATAGCTGTAGTGTCGAGTGATGGTAAACGTTTAACCCGGAATATTAGCCACTTAAAGAAGATACCAATAAGGAGCCCGTCGGACAGTATCTCCAATCCTGATTCTTTTCCACAGGTGACTCCACCAGAAGACTTGACAAACACAGAACAAACGGAACACCAGCCAGCACAGACAGCTGGGATGAAGCTACCAAGCTTGGACCAAGGAGTGAAATTAAAGCTGATATAAAAGGAGGGATGTGGGAACCGGCAGCGAAGAGCGAGAGCGACAGCGGTAGCAACGACGTCAGCGCCGACGTCAACGGTTGACTCTTCTGCTCTTTATATTATGTGATAGTAGTTTTAGACGTACGGCCGATGGACCAACATCGCCGGTCCGAAAATAAATTATAAAGTTTACAGAAACCAGCCATATACATATTTATATTACAGGAAGTAATTCGTGGGTTAATACACTGGCTATGCCCCGTTACGGTTCCCGTCACTGGACCTGTTACGGCTCTCGTTACTGGACCTGTTACGGCTCCCGTTACTGGACATGCCCCGTTTTTCACTGTGCATTCCTCTTGTACATTTGTGCGGGTTTAGTGTTGCTGTTCTATTCTTCTTTCGCCGGTGATCCCATGACTTGGCACTTCAGCTCATTCACGTGAGCCCTTTTCTCTTTGTTGGTCCTTCCGTGCCGTATGATGACATTTACCAGCGAAACGAAATTGACGACCGTATAGGGCCCATCGCACCGTGGCGCTAGTTTTGCTGCGAATCCCTCTGCCGCCTTCGACAAATGGTGCTCTTTTGCCCACACTGTTTCGCCGACCTTTTGGTTTCACTTCCGCCTCCGTAAATTGTAATGCCTCGCCTGGTCCAGTGCCGCCTGCTCCATGTTCCTGTGCACTATTTCGAAGACTTCCTTTAACTTCGTCGCGTTCTCCGTGGGCGTTCCTTGCCCAACTCCTGTGCCTAAAGCGTTTTCGTCGAACAACGCTCTTGGCATCCTTGGCTCCCTGCCTTGCGTTACAAAGCATGGCAAGTATCCTGTCGACTCTGAAACTGCCGAGTTCACTGCCAGCATGAGCTCTGGCCAGTGCTCGTCCCAAGGCCTCTGGTCCTCCCCAGCGAACTGGGCGATCATCATTTTGATTGTTCTATTCGCCCTTTCTTTTGGATTTTCTTGCGGCGTATATGGTGCGGTGAACAGGTGGCCGAGCTCCCCGAGAAACTTCTTAAAGCTGCGGCAGGTGAATTGTACGCTGTTATCCGTTACCATTATCTTTGGAACTCCATACCGAGCGACAATCCTTTCTCTGATTGCCTTTTGCAGTGCCTCGGTAGTTGCTTTCCGTAGCGGCACTATCTCCATCCACTTCGATAACCGGTTCATCATTACCAAAACCATTGTATTCCCGTGTTTCGATCTTGGCAATGGACTCACGAAGTCCGTACACCGCACACGCTCCGGGACCTGCTGCCTGCATCTGGCACGGCTTATACTTTAAACAGGTTTCGCACTTCCTGACGTACTTACGGATGTCCCTTTGCATCCCCGGCCAGAAGTACCTGGCGGCCACTCTGGCTATCGTCTTCCTCACGCCTAGGTGTCCTGCCGCCGGTGCGTCATGGTTCTCTCTGAGGACCTGCTGCCTCGACTCCGTGGGCACGCACAACTTCCATGACGCCACCTCCTCGCTTCCTGCTCTATGCGGAACGTGGCGGTACATCAAGTTGCCCTCTTCGACGTAGTCCAGGAATTTTGGCGGGCTTGCCTTCATTTTTTCCTTTAACGCGCTTATACAGAAGCACTCTTGGACTTCCAGATCCACGGTTCTTCTTAACTGCTCCAACACCGGCTGGCGAGATAGCGCGTCGGCGACCACGTTCAGCTTACCCTTCCTGTAGCTGGTGACGTAGTCATACTGCTGCAACTCGAACACCCACCTCGCTATTCTTCCAAGCGGGCTCTCGAGGTTGTTGAGCCACTTCAGTGCCATATGGTCCGTGATTACGTCGAACTTATATCCTTCCAGGTAGGGCCTCATTTGCCTGATCGCCCATACTATGGCTTGGCACTCCTTTTCCGTTGCCGAGTAATTCTTCTCAGCCCCAATCAACGTCCGACTGGCGTACGCGATCACTCTTTCGCCCTCCTCGGTGTCCTGGGTCAGGACCGCCCCGACGCCGTAGTCGCTGGCGTCTGTTTGCAGTACAAATTTTTTGTTGAAGTCTGGACACGCCAGCACAGGATCCTCGGCAAGCCGTGATCAAACGCCTCCTGGTGCTTGGGTGTCCACTCCCATTTTATTCTTACAAGGGCTTTGCGATTCCCGCGAAACCTGGGACGAATCGCCGATACCATGACGCCATCCCTATGAACTAGCGTACTCCCTTGACGTTTGTTGGGGGTTGCAGCTCTGTAATGGCAGCGACCTTCCCCGGATCCATGCCGATCGCTTGGCTCGTTATGCTGTGTCCCAAGGATAGCAGTTCCTGCCTAAAAAAATGGCATTTTTCCGTGTTTATCCGCAGGTTTGCTGCTTTCAACCTTCTGAACACCTCTCTTAGGTTCGCCATGTGTTCTTCCTTGGTGCGTCCGATCACGATGATATCGTCCTTATATGCAAAGGCATGTGGAGCCATGTCCGGCCCTATGACCTGGTCAAGGGCCCTTTGGAATGTTGCCGAGGCTGAGTGCAACCCGAACGGCATCACCTTCATTGGTACAGACCCTTCCCTGGAACGGTGAAGGCGTTGTACTTTCTGCTTGCTTCCTCCAGAGAGATCTGCCAATATCCGTCCTTCAAGTCGAGGCTGCTGAAGAATCTGGCCTCCCTCAGTTGTTCCAATATGAAATTTATTCGTGGCATTGGGTACGCATCTTTTACTGATTTTGCGTTGATTTGCCGGAAGTCCACGCACATTCTCCATTGACCCGTCTTTTTCTTCACCATTACAATGGGTGAGCTGTATGCGCTATTCGAGGGCTCAATGCATCCCTTTTCTAACAGCTCCACCACTTTTGCGTTTACTTCCCCCTGTATTTTCGGGTTTTTGGGTAATATCGCTGTTTTATGGGAATGTCGTCCTTAATGGTGATCCTGTGCTGCGTTATGTTCGAGTATCCTCTTTGGCCGGCGAACGCTTCTAGCTCTCTCTTGATAAATCTCTTATTGCGTTCGTCTTCCCATACCTCTGGACATCCGGCCACTGCTACGGACAGTCTATCCTCCAGACAGCCGCCTCATCTCTTCCTTTTAAGTATGGTAACGCGGTGGCCTGCGCATGTCACCGTTGCGCCAGCACCAGACCAGCAGGTTCCGGGTCTTTGTCCTGTTGCCGAAGCTTATTCGAGCCTGTAATGCGGCGCGTGTTTCTGTATGGCTTCCATTGGCTAACTTCACCCGTCTCCTTATCGCGACTCGTTTTCCGGCTATTTCCTGGCTCTCTGCTAGATCCTCTGATATAAAACTCGCCGTCGCTCCTGTACCCAGCATGGCTTTCACTTCCGTGCCCTCGACCTCGAAGGTTGCCGTCAACTTCTGCTCTTCTCCGGCTAGTCCTCCTATTAGTTTACTCTCCTCCCTGTTGCTGGGACCGCTGCGCATTTCCCGACCTCTGGCAGCATTCTGTGCTTCTAACTCCTGTCGCGCCGTACATTTTGCAGAACAACAACCTTGGGTTCCTGTACCGCTGGCCCAATGGCCCATGCCACCGCATCTGTTGCATGCTTGTTCTGGGTTCTCGACTGCCTTGGCCCTGCTGTCCACTGCTGATTAGGCTGTTGCGGAGCCGACCTATGCTGGGTCTCAGGCTGCCATCTCGGCATCCAACTTTGGTTCGTGATGTTCTGCCGCTCCGGTGGGCCTTGGCGCGGTTCCTCTCTTTGCCACCTTGGTGCCCATTGTGTGTTTTGGACGGCCTTCAAAGAGTACATGGTGGACCTTCAGTCACTAATGAAACCATTAGGGAATACCACGAAAGAAGTAATCGAGAGGCACGTCAAAAACTGCATGCCAAGGATGAAGATGTTCATAAGACCATACGCCTGCGCGTCTTTAGAGGAGGTGATGGTTTCATTAGTGACTGAAGGTCCACCATGTACTCTTTGAAGGGCTCTCCGCGACGCTGCTTCCGTTGACGAACTTGGTCCGCCAACTTTTCGAAGTATCCTTTCAGCAGGAAAAAATTCTCGAAGCTTGCCTTGAACCTCGCCCATGTTGGCCATTCTTCGTCAGTCATGATGAACCATCTTTGGGCCCTGCCCTGCAGTAGTTCTGGCATGGCTCTGGGGATCGTGTTTATGTCCAATCCATACGTCTTTGCGGACCACGTCACTCGGTCGAGGAACGTTAACGGGTCCTCTGTGCCGTCGAAACGAAACGACCAGTCTCGCACCTGTCTGGCCACTTTGGCGTAACCCACCGGGGCCGGAACATACTTTCTTGATTGCGGCTCTATGCTCCTTCCGATTCTTGGATCTGCTACCGCCAGGCTTTCTATAAACTTCTCGGTTTCGCTGGTTGCTCTCTGCCTGGGGTTGATCTTTGTCCAAACCTTTCCTCGAGGCCGTGCGTTAACGCCAGTACTTCCTCTTCCTTGGATTCGTCGACCCACCTCGCCACTGAGGATCTCATCGTTTCCACAGTCCCGTCTGCTGATAGACCGAGCTCTCTACACACTTCGCTCAGCTCCTCCTTTCTCAATGTGTAGATCCAATTCTTTTTCCCATCTTTCTGCTATGTTATTTTCTAGGCTAAATGCAATCACGAAGTTTGGGCGCCAGGTGTAACGAATTGTCTTTTCTGCTTCCGCTCGCCACAATTTGCCGCGGCTAGCTCACAGAGTTTCGCGGATCCGTTCCACCGAATTTATAGATTCGACGTGATTGCCCAAGCCCAGAAAGTAATACATATATCTTGAAGTTTCCACACTCTATATTTTGAGACCTCTTTACACTACAAAAGGCTTTCTTTCTCTTTTTCTCGTTGCTCCTTCCCTTTCTGCTGGCTCCGTCTTCGGCGTCCTTTGCGGGTTGTCCAGGATACGCCGCCGCTACTCCGACGCCGCCTCTACTCCGTCGCCGATGGTACTCCTGTTGCCGCGCTGCTAGCGATTCCGCTACCCTCCGCCCTTTTGCCTTGAGAAACACCCCCTTGGGTCGACAACGACTGGTCAGACGGTTGGCTCCGCTACACCGAGACACCGTGCATACGCGCCGGCAAACCCGAGTTTGTAGTGGCGGGGCTGGTAACCAGGGTGTTTTCACTCGGTCTGTGACTTGGACTCCGTCCAGCAACGGATCCTTGTCTCCCTTG